TAGCACACCCCTCAACCCTGCAGTCTGTACGTAGTGCCCCCTTCAACCCTGCACTCTTTATATACCCTGGCAACCCATTTTCAGAGATGCTGCTCACATTGGGCTCTGTTCCTACCTGCACTCAGTTAACCTTCATAGTTGTGGTTTCTCTGCTATACTGATTGCTAATAACAAGTTTTAGAATTTTCTGTCTGTTGGTGGGTCTTGTCCCCTCTGCAGTCTGTGGTGTGCAGGAAGGGAGGAGATTGTGTGCTGTAACCTCTAGCAACGAATCAGTGAGCTGTAATGATGTGCAGTAACCTATAGCAACCAATTAGTGAGCAGTAATAATGTGCATTAACCGCTAGCAACCAATCAATTCACAGTAATGATGTGCAGTAACCTCTAGCAACCAATCAGCGAGTAATAATGATGTGCAGTAACCTCTAAGAACCAATGGGAGAGCAGTAAGGATGTGCAGTACCCTCTAGCAATTAATTAGTGAGCAGTAATGATGTCCAGTAACCTCTAACAACCAATCAGCAAGCAGAAATGATGTGTTGTAAGCTCTAGCAACTGATCAGTGAGCCATAATGTGTGCTGTAACCTCTAGGAATCAGTGAGTAATAATGATATGCTGTAACTTCTGGCAACCAATTACTGCCTGATCTGCTGCAGCAAACTGATTTTGAGTATAGGTGCTAACTGTATGTCTCAACTAGGGGCCCCCCAAAAAAAATGTTTGCCCAGGGTCCAATCAATATTGAAGATGGCTCTGAATCAAATTAATATGCAACTCAACAGGTCACTTCCATAACTCACTTATCTATGCATACTCACTCCTCTCTCGACTCCGAGATGATTTGCAGGCACCATACAACTCACCATACATTCTCCCAATGGGGAAAAGTTATATAACGGGACTTCACTGCTTCCCAAATACATGACATAATACTCTTCTGCTTGAAGTCCTTTATATCCACTAGCCTCCAAGAAACCAACTATAAAATGTTATCATGCTGGTACAAAACACTCTTTATAGACTCTTTCCTGAAATGTCCAATACCTGATGGAGGTGTATGAAGGCCACTGGCACATTATTACACATTTTCTGGCCTGACCATGTTCTAGACCCTTCTGGTCAAAGGTAAAAAATCTCTCAAAAATTCACAGATTTTCAACTTCATTCTGACTGTCAGGCCTGGGCTCCTGCTACTTTTTTCTTACTTACCAGCCACTCATCTCCACAGTGACTCACCTGGATACCATTACCTGCCTCATTAGTCCAGCCTACAGACAGCCCTTTTTTGCTATTTTAGCAGCTAATCTAATTTCCTCCTTGTGCTGGCGTGGTCTATGATCTCCAGTGTTACTGCCTGTATTCCTGTGTAAAACTCAGTCTAGATGACTTCTCTTCCAATTGCCATTTCTGATTTTTTGGCTCCTGACTAGGCTGACTTCTGGTTTCCTGACTCTGGCTCGTCAGATTACCTGCTTTGGCAACCAAACCCTGGCTTCTGTTTTGTCTACATTCCTGAACTGTGTTAATTTTGCTATTTCATTAAAATTGTGATTTTAACTGCACTTTCTGTCTCCGCTTGGTTCATGGTTCCTGACACTGACCCAGCCTTTTTTCCCCTATGCCTGTCTTCCCTGCCTATGTAGAAGTATCAGGAATCCATTCTACGACATTTGTTAAATATAGGTAAATCGTGTATTCCTGTCCAATGGAAGAGCCCCAATCCTCATCTATCTGCCTGTGGGCCCGTAAAGCAGAGTAAATGGAAGACCTGATTCTATCAGCCCAAAGCAAACATAAGATAACATAAATCCACATGGTTTTACTAGGATGCCTTAACATTTACAACTGAAGAACAGGCATTACTGTTTGGAGATTCAGAGTAATGATCACTTTCACTATCTCTCTACATTTCTATCCCCCCCTTCTTCCATTCTTACTCCTGGTCCCTTACTCATAATACAGACATTCCTTAACACAGCTACTACATAAGCCATATTATTCAGCTCTAGGTAAAATTACACTCTAACCCTACCTCGAATTTGTCAATTCATGCATTCACAGGTATCTTGACTCCTTAAATCCGGAATTACCTCTATGCAGCTGCTCATGATTGCCAATTCTTTTTGAATCATATGGACGCAATGGGGTAGATTTACTAAAACTGGTAAACACATAATTTGGTGCAGCTGTGCATTGTAACCAATCAGCTTCAGCTTGTTCAATTAAGCTTTGACAATAAGTGCCCGGTCATACCGTAGTTCTTGTATTACTTTTTCTGCAGTTTTGTTGTGATTTTACATACATAGAATATAATGGAAATCGCACTGCAAATTGCAAGTAAGTAGCAATAAAGTCTTCAGAAATCGCACCTGAAATTGCGCTGAAATAGCACACAAATTGTGCAATTTTAACTCTCAGTGGTGTAACCTCTGACTTAAACCTAGAAGCTGTCTGTTGCACTAGATTTTGTGTGCACTAGTTTTAGTAAATCTCCCGTCTCTCCTTTTTATGCAACGGCAAACAATATGTCTATGTAAAACCAGCTTCTGATTTAATTGTATGCTGAAAACTAAAGTAAAGAATTTTAAAAAAGTATTCTCACTTGCTATCTCTATTTCTCTCTATCCTTCCTTAATTTTTTGTCCCTTTCATAGGATTAATGCACTTAAAATTAATAGTTAAGAATAGGATTTCTTGTTGAAAAAAGTATGTACGATTGCAAAATATTTACTATCCCTAATACTTAAAAACATTATGTAAACAGTAATGAAACCAATTTGTTGTAAAAGTAGTTTGAAAATATATATATAAATCTTAAAAGAGTTGTGTTGCCTATATAGTAATATTAAAGTAGATACAAAGGCAATTTTTTCATTTTGGAAAGAGTGGGGGAGGGTTATAACCTTCGTCAGTTTTTGGTTTTCATCTGTGTTCCAATGGGGAGATTTCCCATCACTTCCCACCCTATAGGAAGTGAGAGAGAATCCCAACAAAGTGAGGGAATCCCGGTGTTTCACCAGGGTCCCCAGAAATTATGTCTCCATTGGAAGATTCCCCTCTATTACTTTTCTGGGGACAACCCAAAATTTGGGATTTTCTTTTACTTTCACTTTGTTGATAACTGTAAACAGGTTGAATGTAAGTAATGGAAAGGGGTGCTGGGGTGTGCTGCAGGGTCTATTTTCACCGATGGGAATCTATTTTTGGATGAGGGGTCTATTGTTGCCATGGAGGGTGTCTTATGATCTATTGTTGCTGGGGTGGTATTTTGTTGTGGGGGGTCCATTGTTGCTGGGAAGGTCTATTGCCTCAAAAGGTGGAGAGTTCCTGCACCTATTCTCAGAGAAAAAAAAAGCCCTGACACTAAACATGACAATGCTAAAAATAGAAAATTAGTGACGGTCACTTTAATAAGAAATACAAACTGTTAAGAAGCATTAAGGCTTAGCTCCACCCAAAAAGGGGAAGTTCTGCTTTAAGCCTTTGTCCCCCGCTCCCCATTAGGATTGGCACCTTTGGGGAGCGAGGGGGGGGGGGGGGGGGGGGGGGGGGGGGGGGGGGGGGGGGGGGGGGGGGGGGGGGGGGGAGTACCCAAATTTGACAGGTACCTGCTCTCACATCCGCTGCGATCGCCTAGGCCAGTGGTCGGCAAGCCGCGGCTCGCGAGCCACATGCGGCTCTTTACAAACTTAAATGCGGCTCTTCTGTGTGCCCGGGCGCCCGCTCCCCTCCCTCCTCTCGGGCGGCCGCCCCAAAAGTCAGGACTCTGCAGCTGTCAGGATGTAGGCGGGGCAGCCAGGATGTAGGCGGGGCAGCGTGACAAACTCCTCTCCTCTCACAGTCCGCCCTGAAGACCAGAACGGCGCGGGAACACGGCGAGAGGAATGCGTGGAGCAAAGGTAAGTGAATTGACACAATATGGGGAATGTATTACTATGGGGGATGTATTACTATATGGGGGGATGTATTACTATGGGGGATGAATTACTATATGGGGGATGTATTACTATGGGGGATGTATTACTATATGGGGGATGAATTACTATATGGGGGATGAATTACTATGGGGGGTTTTACTATATGGGGGATGTATTTTCAGTTTTAAAAATGTGGCTCTCAAAATAAATTTCAATCGTGGTTTTGGCGAGATTTGGCTCAGTTGAAAAAAAAAAGGTTGCCCACCACTGGCCTAGGCGATCAGAAGCTCAATTTGTCCTCCCCCCCCCTCCCTCCCCATAGTCTTCTGGGACACGTGACAGATCCCAGAAGACTATGGGGCCATTCACAAAGCGCAGCCCGTCTCGCATCCATACTGAAGATGCAAGTGCCAGGGAGAGAAGACAGCCGGTGAAACCAGCGGTGAAGACACTGTTGGAATGAGGGACAGGTAAGTGGCTGTATAGTTTTTGTAGCTGCTGACTTTTATTTTTTTTTCTTTAGATGGAACTCCGCTTTAACGACAGTGACATTAACTACCCTTTGCTTTGCATGAAAGCCAGACCATTCCGACAGGCAAAGCAACCCAGAAGTATTGGAGATTGCCAGATTGCCACCTCCCACACTCCAATTGGCTAATTGTTAAACTGGGCTGCCACAGTGGCCAATAGGAATGTGCAAGAGGCAGGAATTGGCAGGCAAGCTCTGATAAACCCTGGAATTGTCAGAGCTCTTTCAATCAGAGCAGCCTGCCATTTGTGCACTTGCTGAAGCTATGTCCAGGCGTTTTGGGGCCCCTGCAGCTTATATGTGTCATCAGATTATGGTTTTCTTAAAGTAACATTAAGTAACAATAAACTTTCACAACTTTTATAATAATCAACATGTGAGAAAGACACCTAATGTGCACGAAACATATATATATGGACACATTAAGCAAATCTTTTAAAGGTTTGAACATTTTTTGTAATCAGAAGCTTTAAAATGTGCTATTCATACTATTCAGTTATCACAAAAAAAGTAAAAAGCAAGTTTGACTTTGTTTTAATTGTATCATACACACCCAAAAATGAGCAAGAATGTTGACTTTAAAGGTCTTCTCAATTTGGTCATCTTTTAAGTTGAGAAACTCCACACCAAACACCACTCCAGCATTATTTATCAAGATATCCACATCTCCGACTTCTGACTTGACCTTTGTAAAAAACATAATTATAATATATATATATTTGGGTTTTGGCATAAGATATTGTTCCCCTGAAACAAGGATAAAAATAGATGTTCCTTCTGGGTGCATATACACTATATTGCCAAAAGTATTGGGATGGCTTCCTATACACGCACATGAACTTTAATGGCATTCCAGTCTTAATCCTCAGGGTTCAATATTGAGTTGGCCCACCCTTTGCAGCTATAACAGCTTCAACTCTTTTAGGAAGGGTGTCCACAAGAGTTAGGAGTGTGTCTATAGAAATGTTTGACCATTCTTCCAGATGCGCATTTGTGAGGTCAGGCACTGATGTCAGATGAGATGGCCTGGCTCGCAGTCTGTGCTCTAATTCATCCCAAAGGTGTTCTATTGGGTTGAGGTCAGGACCTCAGACCAGTCAAGTTCCTCAACCCAAAACCGTGGCCACGCACAGCACATGTGCAGTAGTTCTCATTAGCCAGCGTGCGTTCCACTGCCACCTGCAGGCGGCCTGCAGTATTTAAGCCATTGCTTTAATCGGCAGCCACACTAAACAGGCTGAACTGCTGTAATACTGACACTCAGTGGCTGAATATCTCCTTACCATGGGAACTCTGTCATACTGAAGTCTCTATCTGCTGAACCCAGGTATCTTTTATAATAACATACACGATTTTATACTACACATAATAAAATGAACGCATCCTGTTTTTAAATTTTAAATAGCAATTGTGCTTTTGCATTTACATACATGTTTATTCTATGGATTCTCTCTAAATATAAAAAAATGTTTTTCCTTTTTTTAAATTTTTTTTTTTGTACATGTTTTCTATATATACACACAACTTTTCTGTATGAGATTTTTGACATTATTATTATTATTACTATACGTATTTTCATATGTATTGCTATGCTCATCTAACAGTATCACCACCTGTTATACCATCATGATTCATGTAAATAGTTTGAGGGGAATTTGTATTTGTATATGCATTTGTTTTTTTTTCATCAGCTCTGATGAAGAAGGGAGCACCCTTCGAAACGCGTTAGCCTTCATCCCCTCCCCCCTTTTCGATTTACCTGTAACCCTGTTTTGGATTATGGTTACTTATGCCTGTTATACAATCACTTTGTGAGTATATTTCCTTATTAATAAAATTAGTCACTATTTATTGAGGTAATGCGCAAGGTTTGTGTGCTCTTTCTTTCATCTTCCTCTACAGTTTTATTAAGCTTCCCCAGCTTCATGATAGAGCTGCACAACCTCTGATCACCAGCGGATGAACACACAACACGCTGCTTGTCACTATCGCCTGTTTGATCTGAGTCTTTGAGCGCAGGAGATAATGGATCTTTGAAGAATATTACTCTACACTAAGACATGAGTCAGTGCTCTTGCCTTGGCTTTGACCAGACTATATTCTGAATCAGATTTCTTAGAAAACAATTGAGTCAGATCTCTTTCAATGACTTTGACCAGACTGTGTTTTAGACCCCGTGATCATTTGGCCTTACTGAATTCTCCAGCTAATAAAAGGCAAGTCTCTCACTAGGTATGTGCCCTTTAACGGAACCGTGCCTATTTAAAGGATCTGCATCCATGTGTCTAACACCCAAGCAATACTTCCACCTGTTCTGTGAGCTTGTTTTACACCTGTTCCTCGTTTGAATTGACTTCCGATGTACCAACCTCAGCTCCACTCCTGTTCTGGGGTTTGCAGGCCCATTGTATGGTCTCTTCATTCATCCGGTACACTCCTGTTGTGAGGTCTGCAGTCCTGAGGCCTGGTCCTGTCTGCCGTTTCTCCCCACATGTTCCTATTATGTGTTCCAGCCTACTCCAGTGTTCTCCTCTGTCCTAAGTCTCTCTCAGCAGCACAGTTCCCATTTACACTGCTGCCATTAGAATGCGCTTCTGCGGGTTAGTTTCCACATATTACAATAGGGTGAATCATGCTGTCCAAACCTCCCTGAAGGGATTCCTAGTAAAACACTGGCTGACCCTTAGATTGAGTGATCTTACGTCACCCAATCACTTGTGCGTTCACTTAATTCACCCTTATGACAAGGTGCTTTGTGTGTGATCTAACCAAAACCACAGAAGCAGGTGTAAGTTAAATTCTCAAAGCAAGTTTTCTATTTACCAGACTACAATAACATGTTTTGTTTGTATACATAAGATGTTAATTTACTTAAAGCATTTAGGCTGTTCACCTTGCAAGGGGAATTTTCTCTTAGCTTAGTAAATGTGGTGAAATTTCACTTTGCAAAGAATAATAATGTGTAAGGAAAATTAAAAAAAAAAAAAACAGTATTTTTGCTTACACATGACTGGATGGTGGAAGCCGGAAGAGCATCGCCTCATTCGCTAAGCTAGGGAAAATTCCCTTGCATAAGCTAAGGGAAATTCCCCTTGCAAAGTGAACAATATATTTGCTTTTAGTTGATCAACCCCTTAGTTTATTATTTTATGTATAGTTTATTTCTGTCAAAAAAATATTTATGATAAAAATCTACCTTTTCAGCTGCAGCATAAATATCATTCCTTTTACTGCAATCCACTACATAAGCATAGGCTTTTGCTTCCAGTTTCCTACATAGATTAGCTGTTTCTTCCACACCCATTACCTTCCTATTGAAAGACAAGAAACACAAATATATGATTTCTGTCTATTCATTACTCTTGTTAATTTGATTATAAGCATACATTTTTTTAAAAATAAACAATGCACAAATTGCAATAATTCACAACACACTTAGAGTTGTCATTCACTATCATATTTTAATTGCCTACATTTATAGCTTAAAAGAATGCAGATCAAGAGCAATTTGAAATTGAAACTTAAATTTCAGTTATGGGCCAACTGATTTGGCGATAATTTTGTCATTATATATGATACAGAAGTAATATGTACATCATTTTGTTTGGAATAGATAAGGATTTCTTGTGCAACAATGATTTTTATTTCTATACAATGTAAAGACAAAGATATGCAACAAAACAAAAAAATTATTTTGTGAGCTTTCGGATTTACATTTCTATTTAAACAGATTTTTTATCTAATGCAACAGAAAAATAATTAAATAAAAAAAGTGTACATAAAAATCTATATAAATTAAAAAAAATGATCAGCAAAATAATAACTAAAAAGAGAGGAGAAAGGAGGAGTCAATTAGATTTTATTATGGGTAACAAGATAATAAATAGCAATTTTTATTAAAACAAAAAATTAAAAAAAAACATTTTTTTTTACTTATGCAGTTGCTTTAACTGACAAAAGACTCAAAAGGGTATGAATTAAAAATTACAGTTAAATGGATAAAATAAAGATACTTGTGTTAAAGTAGACCGAAGCCCCAAATGATTGATGTAATTTGCTGAAGTACTGTATGTCATATTTTTTTTTCTCTCTTAAAGTGGAACTTTACCCATTACAATTTGATTAAAAATAATGTTCTTTGGCATGGAACATACACTCCATATTAAAGCGGAGCTCTACCCAAAAGGGAAGTTCCGCTTTAAGGCTTTGTCCCCTGCTCCCCGTTAAGGATAGGCACCTTTGGGGAACAGGTACCTGAATTTGACAGGTATCTGCTCCCCCTTCCTGTGCGATCGCCTAAGGCAATCAGAAGCGGAAGTCGTCCTCCCCCTCCCTCCACGTAGTCTTCTGGGATAAATGACAGGTCCCAGAAGACTAGTCAGCCAGTCAAGTGGTTAATGAAATCTGCAAAAATTTAAAATAATGAAGATTACATTTGTAATGACATTACCATGTTAAAATCAGATGAAAATGTAGTAAGTGGGTCCACAGATACTTGTATATTTCGCAAAAACAATATTTACACAGTAGTTGTTTATAAATTTGGGCACAGCCCATTCTGCGTGGAATTTATGATGTCCATCCCTTTATTACTTGTGTGTGGTATTGCATGATTGTTGTTTTACATATCAATAATAATAGTTTTACATTCTAAGAATATGCTAATCTGACAAGTTGCATCAACATTATATTTTAAGGCAGGTAAACAAATATTCACAAAAAGTCATGCGGTCATGCGCACTAGGTGGAACGCACGCTGACCTACAAGGAGGAAGCCATCTTCACATGCCACGAGGCAGGCTTAAGCAGCACAGGCGCCGAGAAGAGGCTGGAACCCGCGGTATATCGGCTGATGTCAGCGGTTGTTCCCTGGCCTCTCTGGCCTTGTAAGGCAGTACCTATGAAGGACATCTTTTCCTCTCCTATTATCCATTGCGCAGGTGGTGAGTGGACTGTTACAGGACACTAGTTATATGGTCCTCTGTGATCGATATAACCTATACATCTTATATAGAGTGAAAGCTCTTCCAGTGACTTTCCACATATTGTTTGTTTCATTACAGGATGGGGACATCATGGTGCTTTTCATAGGAAACAGGATATACCACGTGTATCTCAACAGGCAGAAGATTTATTGGGATTTGTCTTGTTTTCCTTACAGAAAGTGGTGTGTGGTCCACATGTAGTGGTGAAGAGACCATTTCAAGCAGTGCTCTGCTATTTGCATCTATCCTTCCATCCTGGTAACAAATGGGGCTTATTCTCATTTAAGAGCCCTAAGGAAACAGTCGCTTATATTACAGATGAATGGGCCCCAACCACATGTGCCGGCATAGGAGTGTACTGCATTTTATATATGACATTCATTTTTTGTCTCTTATAGGCCTAGAGGCACGCTTCTCTTTTTGACGCATACTGTGCTTGCTGCACTGCATACAGGTGATATTTTATATCTATAGTGTAATGTTTTGACACTCCCTGCTTGGGATATAACCATTTTGGTAGTAGCATATGTCTACATATTTACAACATGTTACATGGTATACCTATGGTATAATTTTTGCATACACCTCCTGTGGGAAGTGTTCACCTGTGAGCTAGTGCTACAAAGACTTTAGGCTCTAGTAGTCACTGTCTTTGTTGCACAAGTATTTGGACCGGTCTTGGTGTCATTTTATATGGTTTTAGGTCTGTGTGTATTGTCTCATACTGAGGTGATGGTAAACCAGGGCGATTGCCCAAATGCCAAACTTGTATATGTAATAAAGCATAATTTTTGGAAATTTTTCTGATTGTCACACTCTGTTCATAATGTAGCCACTTTCTCTGTGAATTTCTTTTCACAACCCCCCCTTTTTTGTGCATGTCTTTTTTGGCTACTGAATGGAGGCCATCTACTGGGTGATATGGTAATTTATTATACAACCTCTAAATAACTATCTTTAACGAAGGTAAACAAATATTACCTAGTTATGCACAGACAGTGTGCATTCAAGGTCATGCACTTATTCCTGTACACCTGTCATATTTTGACATACAGGTGTATCTATGTACCTGCTGAGTCTGCATCCAGTTCCATAGGCTGCTTGAACACAGCTGGTGGCAGATACAGACACTAAAACAAACACTCCTTGCATGCAGTAGCCAGTGCCCATCTTAATAAGGCCATGGGTAGCTTCTGATCCCTATTAGAACTACCGTATTTTTCGCTCCATAAGATGCACCTGGTCATAAGATGCACCTAGATTTTAGAGGAGGAAAACAGAAAAAAAAATTCTGTACCAATGGACTGCAAAAATAGTACAGGAAATGACCAGAGACTGCAGACATAGTACAGGAGAGGACCAGAGACTACGGACATAGTACAGGAGAGGACCAGAGACTGCGGACATAGTACAGGAGATGACCAGAGACTGCGGACATACTACAGGAGATGACCAGAGACTGCGGACATACTACAGGAGATGACCAGAGACTGCGGACATACTACAGGAGACAGAGACTAGTACTACAGGAGATGACCAGAGACTGTGGACATAGTACAGGAGATGACCAGAGACTGCGGATATACTACAGGAGATGACCAGAGACTGCAGACATACTACAGCAGATGACCATAGACTGCGGACATAGTACAGGAGATGACCAGAGACTGCGGACATAGTACAGGAGAGGACCAGAGACTGCGGACATAGTATAGGAGATGACCAGAGACTGCGGACATACTACAGGAGATGACCAGAGACTGCGGACATACTACAGGAGATGACCAGAGACTGCGGACATACTACAGGAGATGACCAGAGACTGCGGATATACTACAGGAGATGACCAGAGACTGTGGACATAGTACAGGAGATGACCAAAGACTGCAGACATACTAGAGGAGATGACCTGAGACTGCGGCCATACAGATGACCAGAGACTGCAGACATACTACAGGAGATGACCAGAGACTGCGGATATAGCACAGGAGATGACCAGAAACTGCGGACATAGTACAAGAGATGACCAGAGACTGCGGACTCCCCTTCACAGTCCAGTGAGGGGGGGGGGGGGCAGGGCAGACAGTCGCTGCCCTCTGCTCAGATTGGCTGTGAGAACTCAGTGATCAGCGGTTATGTGATCTTACACTTACAGCCGGCAGGGAACTGATGCTGCATCCACTGGGTAAGTATAACTGGGGGGGGGGGGGGGGGGGGGGAAATCCCATACTTCTCTTTTAACTCCACTAACATAAGATGTATCATGTGTATATTTAGCAGTGTATAAATGTGTTTGACTTTACTCCAGCAGTATATAATAAATTGTCAATGCGTACATGCAAACTAAAGACTAATAAGATCTTAGAAAGTGTATATTACCATTAACTCCTGACCTTTATGTTGGTTATTCGTTGCAGATATTTTGAGAGTATGTAAGAAAATCACTCTGCAATTGATTATTAAGCACACTGTAGTAGTGGTGATCATTTGCTTCCAACCCAGACTCTAGACAGGCAAATTTTGCATTAAGTAAAAAAAAAAAAAAAAAAAAAAAAAAAAAAAAAAAAAAAAAAAAAAAAAACATAGCATGCTTGAAGAATTCTACAAATTTTAGAGGCTCACACACAAGCTATTTTTTTTAAATAAACAGATCCAAATAAAGGTTCTTATTAATGAGCAGTGCTGGAATGCCCTTTAGTCCTTGTGCATATCTGTTTCAGCATGTAAAAGGCCAGTGTGTACAACAAGATTTTACAAGGTTTATGCAAAGCTTTCAGTAAGTGTTAATCAGCTTTGCTAAGACTTCACTTCAACTTAAGTTCCAGTTTGGGGATGTTGAACACAGATCTTAATGGGGTGTGCTGGCTGTCCTATACAAAAGGGCTTCCAGCAAGAATCAGCTGGCTTTAAGGTTTTTAGGTAGCAGGGAAACTTTTTGGCATGACGCATATAGGGGCCCAAAATCCAAGGAGCACAATCATGCTTTCAATGGGCATAAATTATGCATTCAATTTCCTGTCTAGCGAACACATATCTTGGGTTCCTTAGTGCCAGGACAAGAGAATCCACAAAATGACCACATTTTGGAAAACGAAAACCCAAAGTATTTTCTAAATGGCATTTTGAGTATTTTGAAGATTTCCTTTTTTGAAATAAATATTTGGAAAATGAAGAAAGAAACAAACAAATTTGACAATAAACAGGTCTACCACACAGTATGGGCATACAGTGGGGCAAAAAAGTATTTAGTCAGCCACCAATTGTGCAAGTTCTCCCACTTAAAAAGATGAGAGAGGCCTGTAATTAGCATCATAGGTAGACCTCAA